AGTAGTATATAACTACCCTTTTTCACATATCTTTCGGTCTACCTTCGACATACGCATTTTAAAATTTTTGATGCATTAACTCAAAACTATTGATCGATTTTTAACTATTTTTTTAAAAACGGAACTAATTGTGTAAATATCCGGCATTATCCATCTCCTCACATTTATTTTAGTATATTTTACTTCTAAGGTCTTCTGTTATTATCAGCCTTGGTCTAACGATCTTCCCGTTGTCAATTACCGTAAAAAATGAGCGGAGTATACGCACGAGTTCTTTTATCCGTACAACTCGATTTTGGATCTCAAAACGACGTTATCTGCTTAAAAGAGTTCATCTGGTGGACGTGGGACCATCAATATTAGGTGAAGTGATATTAAACCTCATACATGTTGTACCAAAGCAGTAATATTATTTTCTTCGAACAGTGCTCGCGTAGGCGGCAACATTGGCAAACACGTAAATATGCTGAAATACGTACACTGTATATCTTCGCGAATTCTTAATAGAATTCTAACCTCGTATGTACGACAGATGACAGCTAATTATTAAATATGTGGTTATATTAAAGTATTTGAAATTTTTTTTGTGCCAATGACATTGGAAATTTACCTCACTATTCAGAGATATTTATTGTCAATTGCCGCCGTTGCATGAAAGAAGGGGCAGTCAAAAATTTATACTGGAGCCAAAATTTCAACAAACCTTTGAGTTACATTTATAATGTCCAGAATGTCAATAAGTGTAATGTACGAATAATTTTTCTACAGTTTTATTTAGTTTCGGTTTGGTGTCTACATTTCTTTGAACATCTATATGTATTATAGAGTCACGATTTAAAATCGAACAATGTTTCGTAAAGGCATTGTCCACTCACACTAATCACAAAAGGTCCATTTATTGAGAGCTTTGATGTATGTTGATTAGTCTCGTGAATGCAGTGCAATGTCAAAGTGCAGGAATGGGAGTCTTCTTGCCAACCAGGATTCTTTGTTAAGCCAATCATGATCCTTGTGGCCGACAAATATCCTTGTATGCGCGAAACCCAAATCAGTGTTCATGAAATGGGTGATCGACTCAGCAAGTCGATCCAAGTGGCGGTGATCGTCCAGCAAGTAGATCAAGTGGGCAATCGGACCAGCAAGTCGATCAAGTGGGGGATCGACCCAGCAAGTCGATCAAGTAGTGATCGACCCAGCAAGTGTACCAAGTGGGGGATCGACCCAGCAAGTCCGAGCAAGTGGGGATCGACAGAAAGTCGATCTAGTGGGATCGGACCCAGCAAGTCGATCAAGTGGGGATCGACCAGCAAGCGATCAAGTGGGATCGCCCAGCAAGAAAACTTGCTCTAAGTGGGGGATCGACCCAGCAAGTCGCTGCAAGTGGGGACTCGACCCAGCAGTCGACCAAGTGGGGGATCAACCAGCATGTTCGACAAGTGGGGGATCAACCCAGCAAGTCGACCAAGTGGGGGATCAACCCAGCAAGTCGACCCAAGTGGGGGATCAACCGCAGCAAGTCGACCAAGTGGAGGATCGACGCCAGCAAGTCGATCAAGTGGGGGATCGACCAGCAAGTCGATGAAGTAGTGATAGTCCCAGTAAGAGATCAAGTGGGGGATCGACCCAGCAAGTGATCCAAGTGGGGGGATTGATCCAGCAAGTCGATCAAGCTGGGGGGATCGACAACAGCAATTCGATGAAGAGGAGGATCGACCAGCAAGTGATCAAGTGGAAAGGGATCGATCAACAGTCGATCAGATAGGGGATCGACCCCAACAAGTCGACCAAGTGGGCGATCGTCCCACCAGCAAGTCGTCAAGTGGGTGAATCTTCCCAGCAAGGAAATCAAGTGGCTGATCCTTCCCAGCAAGTCATGAAGTGGGTGATCGACGCCAGCAATAACATCAACTGGGTGATCGACCCAGCATGTCGATGCGTGTGTGATCAACCCAGCAACATCGACACTCAAGTGGTGATCGACCAGCAAGTTTTGAAAAAGTGAGGTGATGGACCCAGCAAAGGCGATCAAGTGGGGGATCGACCCAACAAGTAGATCAAGTAGGTGATCGGTCCCAGCAGAAGATTCAAGTGGGTGATCGACCCCATTCAGTAAGTCGATAAGTTTGGGATCGACCAGCAAGTCGATCATGTGGGGGATCGAACCAGCAGTCGATCAAGTGGGTGTCGTCCCAGCAGTAGATCAAGTGGGGCGATCGACCAAGCAGTCCGATCAAGTGGGGGATCGACCCAGCAAGTCCATCAGTAGGTTGATCGACCCAGCAAGTGTGACAAGTGGGGGTATCGGACCCAGCAAGTCGATCAAGTCGACAGCTGATCGACCAGCAAGTCGATCAATGGGTGATCGTCCCAGCAAGTCGATCAAATGGTGATCGACCAGCAAGTCGACCAAGTGGGGGAATCGACCCAGCTCATTCGATCGAAGTGGGGGATCGACCCAGGCAAGTCGATGAAGTACGTGATCGTCCCAGCAAGTGGGGATCGACCGCAGCAAGTGTAACCAAGTGGGGGATTGATCCAGCAAGTCGATAGGTGGGATCGACAACAGCAAGTCGATGAGTGGAGATCGCCCAGCAAGTCGATCAAGTGGGATCGACCCAAACAAGTCGATTCAGTAGGTGATCGACCCAGGCAAGTCGATTAAGTCGGTGATCGACCAAGGCAAGTTGTTCAAATGGGTTGATCGACCCAGGCAAGTCCGACCAAGTGGGCGGATCGACCCAGCAAGTGCGATCAAGGGGGGAAATCCCGAACAAAGCAAGGTGAATTCAAGGTTTGGGTTTTTTGATCGACAAAGCAGTCCGATCAAGTGGGTGATCGACCCAGCCAAGTCGACCAGTGGGGATCGACGCACAAAGTCGATCATGGGGGATCGACGCCAGCAAGTCGATCAAGTGGGTGATCGACCCAGCAAGTCCGATCAAGTGGGTGATCGACCCAGCAAGTGCCGTCGATCAAGTGGTGA